ATATAATGATAACCACTGAGCTTAAATGCAGATGGACAACAGTTGTAAATCACATTGTCTCTTTTATCATTTCTCTTTCCATAGTAGGAACATTGGATAAAATACAGCTCCCTGGGGTGTCAGTAGCTTAGTGGATAGAGCAGACGCCCCATGTACAAGACTGTTGCCTCAGCGGCCCAGGTTCGAGTCCAGTCTGTGGCCCTTTGCTGCATGTCATTTGAGTTTGCATTCAGCGGATGAGTCCAATCTTCCTGTCACCATTGTAAAACCCAGGTCCAACCCCTATTGTATGCTGTGAGTCACAGTGACACCTCAGATAAATTTTTACTGTTTGACTGAGAGACACTACACAGCTCATGTTAATACACCAGACAGCACACATACTTCTCTGTATTTACAGTCAGAGAAAGGAGGAGGCCACTTAAAACATATTGCCAGGTTCAGCCTGATTTTGGCCCGATGCAGCGCTGAGTGGTGTTGGCCCAGATCGCGAACGAGTGTCGTATGTGATAATCGATCGGTTTATCTCCTGTAGTGTGTCATAGTAGACGACAACCTATACCATTTCTGGGACGCCCCACCAAGTCCCGACAGAAAGCCTAGCATGTTTGATTTATTTATTTTTTTTATTTTTTTTGTCTTCAATCTGCAATCTGCTGCTGTAGACAACTGTATGGCAATAACGGTCCAGCCTTTTTGAGATTTCCTCTAGGGATGTTCCCACACAGAGCAAAAAGGGAAAAATGATGGTGTAATATAGCAGAGGCACTTTAGCAACCTGGTGAATACTGCCATTAGCATCAAGCTAGCAAAGAATGTTATTTCTTCATAATGGAGGATATAAAGGAATAAAAATCACAAACCAAACTTTCACTTACCAAACTGCAGAGGGTACCAGCTTCATTTGAAACAGACGATATTAGAAACAGGCCTTTATTAATTATTCCCTCTGTATTTATCCATTTTAAATTTTAATCCATTCCCGTTTGCCCTGTTATCATGTCGTCATTTCAAACTCAACACTTCCTGTATCCGCTTAAAATTTAAAGCCCCTTATAATTTTAGTTGAGAGAACCCCTTCAATTTCTAAAAAAGGCTTTTATTGTGAAATATTTGCAGGAACTTGTTGTGGAGGATTCAGTGACTTGCTAAGTTTGCATTCAACACTTCAAATGTAGCTCCTGCCATCTGGTGGTGCTTTTTAGGTTACTACAATAATATTCCGGCTGGGACATGAACAGAGACAGTCAAGTCCCTGTCCGGATCAAAATATGGAGCGTGGACTGGTAGCTGGAGAGGTGCCAGTTCACCTCCTGGGAACTGCCGAGGTGCCCTTGAGCAAGGCACCAACCCCCCCCAACCACCCGGAGCGCCTGTCATGGGCAGCCCCACTCTGACATCTCTCCACTTAGTGCATGTATAGGTACTCTTTTGTGCATGTGTGTGTTCGGACCTGTGTGTAATTGACAACAGAATGAAAAAATTTAATTGAAAATTATTCAATTACAGATTCAATTGGGCCAGTTTTTAAAACCAGAAAATGCCAATGGGCCACAGCAAGCAACCTATTTACTTTTTTCTTAGTTTATATATGTATATACAGTACAGGCCAAAAGTTTGGACACACCTTCTCATTCAATGCGTTTTCTTTATTTTCATGACTATTTACATTGTAGATTCTCACTGAAGGCATCAAAACTATGAATGAACACATGTGGAGTTATGTACTTAACAAAAAAAGGTGAAATAACTGAAAACATATTTTATATTCTAGTTTCTTCAAAATAGCCACCCTTTGCTCTGATTACTGCTTTGCACACTCTTGGCATTCTCTCCATGAGCTTCAAGAGGTAGTCACCTGAAATGGTTTCCACTTCACAGGTGTGCCTTATCAGGGTTAATTAGTGGAATTTCTTGCTTTATCAATGGGGTTGGGACCATCAGTTGTGTTGTGCAGAAGTCAGGTTAATACACAGCCGACAGCCCTATTGGACAACTGTTAAAATTCATATTATGGCAAGAACCAATCAGCTAACTAAAGAAAAATGAGTGGCCATCATTACTTTAAGAAATGAAGGTCAGTCAGTCCGGAAAATTGCAAAAACTTTAAATGTGTCCCCAAGTGGAGTCGCAAAAACCATCAAGCGCTACAACGAAACTGGCACACATGAGGACCGACCCAGGAAAGGAAGACCAAGAGTCACCTCTGCTTCTGAGGATAAGTTCATCCGAGTCACCAGCCTCAGAAATGGCAAGTTAACAGCAGCTCAGATCAGAGACCAGATGAATGCCACACAGAGTTCTAGCAGCAGACCCATCTCTAGAACAACTGTTAAGAGGAGACTGTGCGAATCAGGCCTTCATGGTCAAATAGCTGCTAGGAAACCACTGCTAAGGAGAGGCAACAAGCAGAAGAGATTTGTTTGGGCCAAGAAACACAAGGAATGGACATTAGACCAGTGGAAATCTGTGCTTTGGTCTGATGAGTCCAAATTTGAGATCTTTGGTTCCAACCGCCGTGTCTTTGTGAGACGCAGAAATGGTGAACGGATGGATTCCACACGCCTGGTTCCCACTGTGAAGCATGGAGGAGGAGGTGTGATGGTGTGGGGGTGTTTTGCTGGTGACACTGTTGGGGATTTATTCAAAATTGAAGGCACACTGAACCAGCATGGCTACCACAGCATCCTGCAGCGACATGCCATCCCATCCGGTTTGCGTTTAGTTGGACGATCATTTATTTTTCAACAGGACAATGACCCCAAACACACCTCCAGGCTGTGTAAGGGCTATTTTACCAAGAAGGAGAGTGATGGAGTGCTGCGGCAGATGACCTGGCCTCCACAGTCACCGGACCTGAACCCAATCAAGACGGTTTGGGGTGAGCTGGACCGCAGAGTGAAGGCAAAGGGGCCAACAAGTGCTAAACACCTCTGGGAACTCCTTCAAGACTGTTGGAAAACCATTTCAGGTGACTACCTCTTGAAGCTCATCGAGAGAATGCCAAGAGTGTGCAAAGCAGTAATCAGAGCAAAGGGTGGCTATTTTGAAGAAACTAGAATATAAAACATGTTTTCAGTTATTTCACCTTTTTTGTTAAGTACATAACTCCACATGTGTTCATTCATAGTTTTGATGCCTTCAGTGAGAATCTACAATGTAAATAGTCATGAAAATAAAGAAAACGCATTGAATGAGAAGGTGTGTCCAAACTTTTGGCCTGTACTGTATGTGTATATATATATATATATATATATATATACTGTTTATGCCACTTAGTATGCTTCTGTGCATTGATAGCTCTTATGTACAGTAACTAATAACACTCTCTCTACCTGCATCTCCTTCTTCCTCCTCTCTTACACACACACACACACACACACACAAAGCTCCTGACATTTTCCTTTTAGGTCAAATACACAGGACAGTTTTATACAGTCTATGGCAACAACAGTCATATTTACAACAACAAAGTCACCATGTAAACTTAATAATATCGCACTGAAAACAAATCTAGCATGTCAATAAAATAAATATTCCTCCCTACATCACAATACTGAGTGAAAAATGAAACATTATCTAAGCATGAAGAACACAAACATCAGTATCAATCACTGATCCTGGCGTCTGTTCCCCCTCTACTGAGGACACTCACTGTCCAGAGGTCGGCTGGACACTCACTGTCCAGCCGACCTCTGGACAGTGAGTGTCCTCACTGTCAGACCTCTGGACAGTGAGGACACTCACTGTCCAGAGGTCGGCTGTCACAGGTACATTTTAAAGCTATGGTCTTCGTTTAGAAAGATTGATCATTATTATTAACATCATTTAGATGGCCCAATAGTGCTAGCTACACAATGTGAAGAGCAAAAGGAACCAAAAAAATCCATTCTCTCTGGCGGCTGCAGGTCTGCAAAAAAATTGACCAATCACAGCCATCCGGTCCGCATGGGAGTTACTCCTTG